AGCGAAGTTTTCAGTTATAAGAAAAGTTCTATTGAAAGACGCACGAAATCAAAGAAACACGAGAAGGGCCTGGCTGATATTGACAGAAATAAATCAGATCAGAAGTCCATCAAAGAATGCCTGCAGAAGAGGGCAAAAATATTTACGAAAAGCTTAGAAGTAAGTGTTCACAACTTTTAGCACTTTTTGAGCACTGTATTGAGATTTTGAGCACTTTATGAGCACTTTTTAGCCATTTTTTTCCAGCACTCTTTTAGGATTTTACGAGCGCAATCGGGAAAGGCCTATATGCAACAGAGGTGCGGCCCAAGCACGAGGTAGTTATGAATTTGCAGCCTAAAAAAAAAACACATTTTTGTATTTTTCGCCTCCTAAGCCAAGATTGCATTGCAATCCATGTATATGTGCAGCCCAAAGCATTAAGATCGAGAAAGGTCGACATAATGAAAAATGAAAGCATTTCTGCATATTTACCTCCTAAAGCAAAGCTCACTATTGCAGTGAAGGTGTGGCCCAAAGGTTCAAATTCGAGTACAGTTGACATGATTAGTGAAAGAGGTCATGAACTGAACTACAACGATGCTACCGAGCAATGTCAACAAACACAAAATAAACTGAAGTCCATCTCTAGTTACAAGGATTGGAGTGGTTAATTACTGAGATGCATCTAAGCCTAAAATCGTATTTACTAATGTTTTTTCATGTGACAAGAACGCATAATATTACGGATGCCGAGATTTACTTAGAAAAGTTTTGTCTTCAAGGAACTAAGCTATCTTAAACCTACTAGAAATTTTATCTTTGCATCCAAACTCCCTGAACCTGTTGTAAAATGATTAGTTTGATATCCACATTTGAATTTTTCGGACATTTTATTTAATCGCCTCTGTTGAAATACATATATCTTATTAGACGTTTGGTTGTGTAGTATCGCTGATTATTATATGGCTGTGTGTCACAAGGACTGGGAACTACCGAATTTACGAATTCGATTGGCTGAAATCAATATTGAAAGCGGTCTTGATTATCTCATTTAGACCGGCATCTAGACCGTTCGGTCTGTCCTGGCGATCTCACATGAAAAAACATCAGTAATTACGATTTTAGGCTTGGATGCATCTAAGTAATTAATGGCGCCACATTATGGAACAGTCTACCAAGCGATATAAGGAACACAGAGTCTCCGGGGTTGTTTAAACGTAAGATCAATGACATTCTTTAAGTCTAACGCACGGTCATCCTCGGAGACCCAGGGGCAGTGAGTCGATTTCAAGTTATGGGCAGAAGAGCCCCTGGAGACATTGTCTTACAAGACTAGTTCCCAACGGTCGCAGTCGTTCTGCCATCTGATTGGTGCCAGAAAATCTTTGTGTTTTTTTGCCCAATCAGAGTGAAGTGTCCTTTGGAGTCCTTTCGTGTTTTTAAAACACACATATTCAAAAGGCTCTGTTCCTCGTTATGTTTGTTTGGGCCGTGCGACGAAGCTTTGCCCGAGGTGAAAAGTTTCAGTCTCAGCACACAATGTAAGAGAAAGCGATCAGATTGTCCGCGAAATCTTACCGGAAATTATACTGAATACTTTCGCAGGTATCACAAGAGAACGAGTTTAAAAGTTTGCGAGGTTCGTATAAAACATGTTTGCAAGCATTGATATCAGATACAATGAAATCGGTCAGTACAAAATGCAGACTGCAGACTGCAGATTGCAGACTGCAGACTGGGTATAAAATGCAGACTGGGTATAAAATGCAGACTGACAGCAAAATTCTCGTTTCGTGCAATACGCGATATATTTTCATCGTTAACTCACCCCCCAGTCATGTAATCGCCTTTCCGAGTTCGTTTCCTTGCAATTTCCTCTCCATATGCATAGACTGTGGTCAGTCTATGTGAACAGTCCGTTTATTTGTTGCGCTGAAACATGACAACACGTTCGATCGTAGAGCCGCCATCTTGAATAATCCGAGCAAACCCGAACGATAGCGATTTCCTATTTGTCATTACCGCTGGCCCATGCATGTATCAAATATGGCGGCTGA